CTTCCAATTCTCCCTGCCCATTTCCTGCCCTCTTCCTTCACCATGTTCACCCTTCCCTTCCTGACCTCAGCACAGGAGAACACACCTTGTTCCAGCCATCTGTTCACAGCCCCAGGATGTTCTGCATCGGGACCCAGCAGTCACATGGAGAAGGCACCCCAGCCTACCTTATGGCCACCTGTGCCCTGGGCCCTGTCAATGCCACCTGCAGGGGCCACTGTCTCGGGCCAGGCCAGAGGAGCTCACTGGCTCTTCCTCTGCTACTGTTTAGCTATGCTGCTGACTTGCTGCTAACCTGCTTGTATCAGTTTTCCAGCTCAGTAACTATGACTGACTTGAGCACTTGGTCCATGCTGCAAAGCTGAGATATTTTTTTGTATACATCATTTTAACAGAGCTTGAATATGAGCTTACTGATCCATTTAATGCAGTGTTGGGAAATGAAAACTTTAGGTTTAACCTTAAAATATATCATGTTTGACGATCCACTGCTATTGCTAATGCCTTATTCAAGGTTCTTTAATATCCAGGCATTCCTATTCATTACTTTGCTACATATAGTGCTTGCTCTAATTTCATTTGGTAGCCTCGCCTTCTATTCGTCCCTGAGTATTTCATGAAACAGCCATACTACCCCACTCCTTCCCTCTTGTCCCATAGAAACATTTACCATCTTGCTTCCTGACCAAGAACTGCATGCCAATATCTCTCATCTCAAACACTGCCTGTCCCGCTGCCCTCAGCTGAGGGCTTGGCCCTCTACTTCTCTGCGCATGTGGAAAGTGCTAGAACAGGTGACCTCACACTTCCACCACCCCATCTCCATATTCACCTGGTCCCTCCACCCACAACCTCTGCCTTCCTTCATTGGCTGCGGATGAACTACCCCTGCACTTACACCTGTGTGCTAGACCCGTCCCTCTCAGCTCCTCTAAATCACTGCAGTGTGTTTAATAAAAAGTGGGAAGCCTATTTGTTTTCCCAGAGGTGATAAAAAGGTGGGGACCACAAGACACAAGAAAAAGGTTAAGAAACTGGGTTTCCATCTTCATCTAAGAGCAGTGGGATTGCAAAGAGCAATGGGATTTCTCTTTCATGGGGCCACTGCGTCCTTTACTCACTTCAATCTCTGTACATCCAGCTTGTCACAGGATGAGAACTGAAGGTCACACGTATGCAGATCTAAGGATGCCTGGCTCCTCCACCAGAAGGCCAGCTCCCTGGCATAGGAACCAGGCCTTGTCTGTAGTTTTACTCACTTGTTTGTTTAGAGACAGTGCTTCAGTTGGTGCTCAGTATGTGTTGGTTGAATGACTCAGTGTTTGTACATTTTCAGACAGAAAGCAGCTGAAAATCCTTTACCCACAGAATACTTTCGAGACTTAAAATATAGTAAACACACATCCAAAGCAATAAGAAAATAGTGTTACTTTTCGTGTCACCGATACCAAAATTCACAGGCTATCTTAGCAGAGCAGTATAGAAGAGAGCTGCAGGAAGTCTTCTCAGCTTAGTCAGGATGTCTCAGTAATTTACAATATGCACTCTCCTTGTGATGTGAACGGTAATGAAAGTTGCCCCAGTTGTTCTTGGATGCTCTTAGTCAGAGAACATGGTGCCACTGGCGATGGCCTGCCTGGCACAATGCTGTGCCTACCCAGTCCGCTCAGGAGTAGGCAGTAAATGAGACACTGAGGGAAGAAGAAGTTGTCCCAGGAATTTTGTCCACTGGGCCTCAGCCTTCCGGACCTTGAAGCATGAACCCCTAAACTGGGGAGGCTGTGGGGGCTGAGCAGTGCTTCCTGACTAAGGGTTCCCCCCACTCATGCTGATCCAACACGGGACCCACAGAACCCAGTTACTCACCTGGGTGGCAGGTTCCCTTCCTCTTTGGCTCCTTCATAAGTGAAAGGAGGATAGAATTGAGACCAAAAAAAGAAAAAAAAAGCCTAGAAGGATGAATAAGAGGAGGCAGAGGAACAAGGAGAAGGGAAGGGCAGACCCAGCTGCTGGGGTCGGCCAGTGGGCTGGCGTTGGGACACCTCATCCCTCCACCCTTTGCTGAGGAGCCCAGACAGACCTCAGAGTCCCACTGCTGTCTCTTGCTTCAGGACCGCTGCTCAGGTTTCCCTTCCTCACTCTTGTGACTTCCTTGTAAATCCTCACTCCCACTTTCCAAATGCTCCCTTTAAATGCTGAGGGAAGGGACAGTGAAAAGTCCTAAGAAAGTTCTAGAAGGCCTCCCTCCGCCCAATTCAAAGCAAAATGCATCTCCTTACAGTTGGCTTCCTCCAGGGCTCTGCCACAGCCTCTCGCCCAGTGCCCAGCGAGGACACTGGGGTCCTGAAGCCACTCTGGGGCGGGTCAGAGTGGAGGGCCAAGGGTCTGGGCTGGTGGAAATCAAAGGAAGGAAATTACAGGTAGAGAAGGTTCCGGGGTTGGATGTGTCAGGTAGGGGAGAGGGAACAAAATCTGGCAGTGACTGAGAGAATAATTTGCATATGAAGAGTCACTCCCTCTGACAACACAAAGAGGCATTCTTCTTGAGAATTTAAAACTTGTAAACCTATGGGAGACTTTCTTAGTTTGTCAAAGAAGACTAAGTCAATGTCCTTTGACCTGGATCCCTGTTCTTCCACTTTTCTCGTTTTTTGTAATTGTTGTTTTTGGTTTTTGGTTTTGCCCTGGTTTGTTTCTCCTAGTCATCCCATCCCAAAATGCACCTTCACTTTGGGCAAACTATTTCTCCTCCTGAGGTTCCCACTTCCTCGGCTACACGATAAAGGAAACAGATGACACCTGGCTTCTAGCTCTTCCGGTACATTGATTTCATCGTGATGTCCACTGTCAGACCCCCAGCATGGTAGTGTACACACATTATACCCACTGTATTGGCCAGCTTTTCTGGGACAAGATGCCCAACACCCTCAACTTAGAGGAGGAGTTTAATTTGTTCACAGGTTCACAGGTTCAGTCCATGGTCAGCTGGCTCCAAGACAGGAGCATCATGGAAGAAGGAGCATCATGGTGGAAGGGCTCAGTTCATGGTGGCTGGGACACAGCATGAGCAGGAGACCCTCCAAAGGCTCACCCAAGTGACCTCTCAACTGGATCCTGCCTCCCCACAACACCATCAGCATGAACAGCAGTGATTAATCCTCAGGACAGCACAGTGCCCCATGATCTAATTGCTTCTCCAGGCTGGCCCATAATTAAGGATAACTGATATACCACCCACTCTCTAATAAGCCTGGGGGCCAGTGCCATCTGTGCCAGAGGCAGCCAGACTGTGTGAAGCACAGCATTTCCCAGAGCTGAAGACAGAGAGTCTGGGCTCTGTGGCACCTGCCATGTGTCTTCACCCCACCCTCAGGCCCACTGCACACTGGGCACAGGGGCAGTGCACAGGAGTGCAGGACACACCTCACAGCTGCTTCTTGGTCACTGTCACCATCATGGGATTATCACTGCTCAGCTCCAGGAGTGCAGTAAAGACCCCTATCTCCACCTTGTAGAAATATCAAGCTAAGAGAAGGAAAGGGAGAGAGAGATTCATCTCCCTGCCCTCTTTGAGACTACATATTTCAAGTTCCAAACATGATCAGAGTCTACATGTGATGCTTATGAGACTGAGCCTCCCCTCTCCTTTCCTCTCTTCAGCATCCACCTTAGTGAACAGGGAGCTTCCTGAAATTCTTGTCATAAAAGCCAATGCTAATAGCATACTTTTAGATTTTTAAGCATAAGAATAACTAGGAAGACAGTATATCCAGATGTAACAGAAGGGCAGACTCATAACACAAAACCATATTGTTAAAGCTGAATGGTGCAAAGCACATGCTCAGCATACAGCAGGCTTTGGATTCCATCCCACATACACACCCCAAAAAAATCCTATCAAAGGAAACAGTGGGGAAATTCAGTGGCTTCTTACAAATGGACATTACAGTTATCATCTGAGCATGCAAGTACAGAAGGAAAATATCAGGAGTATAGAAATTAAGAAAAATAAGCAGGAAATAGGACTGAGTCATATTTTTCTGTTATTCCTAAAACCTCTTGCTGTGGATTTTTCCAGTGTCCTCAACAGCTGGGCTTGGAAGAAAATGGATGTTAGAAGGACTGGGGTGTAGGTCAGTAGTAGACCACTTCCCTGGCTTATCTCAACACAGTAACCTGGAGATTCACCCAAGTTGTCACAAGTGACTTCTAGAAAAGCAACATTACATTCAGCAGCTCTCTGAAAGCTGAAAGTCCTTGGTAAAGTCTCTGTCAGAGCATTCTTTTTACTTGATTATGAATATGTCACCTGTGAAGTTATTCTCCCTACTCTGGGCTCTGTCTTGTACAGCACTTTCTTCCTTATTTATGGGCTCTATAGCAACTGAGTACTGGAGCATTGTTCCTACTTGTCCTTTGTCTTAGTTCCGGCAGACCTAATGATGTCATATTATTTAACAATTTAAACATTTTTATTTGCCTTTGCTGAACAACTCCATTTTTAAAGCTCAAAGTATTTAGTACAGTTCTACATGGAAAATTCATAGCACTGAAAGCCCACATTAGGAAAACAGAGCAAGCTCAAATAAACAACCTAATGATGACTCTTAGACTCCTAGAAAAACAAGAGCAAGAAAAACCCAAAGTTCGAACAAGAGAGGAAATTGTAAAGATTAGAGCAGAAATCAATGCAATAGAAACTAAGAAAATGATACAAAAAATAAATGAATCAAAGAGTTGGTTTTTTGAACGAATCAATAAAATTGATAAACCCTTAGCTAACCTTATCAAAAAAAGGAAAGAAAAGACTCAGATCCATGCATTCAGGAATGAAAAAGGCAAAGTCACAACAGATCCCACAGAAATCCAGAGGGTCATTAATAGCTACTATGAGAACCTGTACTCTAAAAATGGAAAATAATGGAAAACACAGAAGAAATGGACAGATTTCTAGATACTTATGAATTACCAAAGTTGAATGAAGAAGATAAAAACATTTTAAACACCCCAATTACAATCAGTGAAACTGAAAATGTAATTAAAAACTTACCAACAAGGAAAAACCCAGGTCCTGATGGATTCACTGCTGAATTTTACAAGACATTTAGGAAAGAACTACTGCCATTACTCTTCAGACTTTTCATTGAAATTGAAAGGGAAGCAATACTTCCAAATTCATTCCTGGAAGCAAGTGTCACATTGATTCCCAAACCAGGGAAAGATGTAACTAAAAAAGAGAACTACAGGCCAATCTCCTTAATGAATATAGATGCAAAAATCCTCAATAAGATACCAGCAAACAGAATACAGAGGATCATCAAGAAAATCATACCTCCTGACCAAGTCGGATTTATTCCAGGGATGCAAGGATGGTTCAACATACATAAATCAATTAATGTAATACACTATATTAACAAAGTCAAGGACAAGAACCACATCATCCTCTTGATAGATGCAGAAAAAGCATTTAACAAAATTCAACACCCATTCATGATAAAAACCCTACAAAAAATTGGAATACATGGTCTATGTCTCAACTTAATAAAGGCTATCTATGAAAAACCAATAGCCAACATCATATTAAATGGCCAAAAACTGAAAACCTTCATGCTAAAATCAGGAACAATACAAGGGTGTCCACTATCACCACTCCTCTTCCATATAGTTCTGGAAGCATTAGCCATAGCAATTAGGCAAGAGAAAGAAATTAAAGTAATAAAGATAGAAAGGAAGAAGTTAAACCGTCATTATTTGCTGATGATATGATACTCTACATTGAAAACCCAAAAAACTCCACCAAAAGATTTCTTGACTTAATTGACACTTTTAGCAGAGTAGCTGGATACAAGGTCAACACCCAAAAATCAATAGCCTTCTTGTACACAAATAACAGACTCACTGAGAAAGAAATTAGGGAAACAATTCCTTTCACAATAGCACCCAAAAAAAATGAAGTATCTGGGAATCAATCTAACAAAAGAAGCAAAATATCTCTACACTGAAAACTACAGCACTCGGAAAAAAGAGATCGAAGAGGATATAAGAAAAAGGAAAGATATCCCCTGCTCCCAGATAGGAAGAATCAACATAGTGAAAATGGCCATACTACCAAAACTGCTATACAGATTCAAGGCAATACCAATTGAAATTCCAACACTATACTTCACAGAACTAGAAAGAAGAATACAAAAATTCATTTGGAACCATAGCAAAAGCCATCCTAGGCAACAGACACATGGCAGCGGGTATAACAATTCCCAACCTGAAACTATACTACAAAGCCACTGTGATAAAAACAGCATGGTACTGGCAAACAAACAGACTTGAGGATCAGTGGAAAAGACTGGAAGACACAGAAACAACTCCAGATGCACTCAGCTACCTCATCTTTGACAAAGGAGCTGACAGTCCCCACTGGAGGAAAGATAGCCTCTTCAATAAATGGTGTTGGAAAAACTGGAATTCAACCTGTCAAAGATTAAAACTGGACCCTTATCTTTCATCATGCACTAAACTAAAATCCAAGTGGATTAAAGATCTAAATATTAAAATAGAAACACTGAATTTGCTGGAAGATAAGTTAGGCAGAACTCTTGGAGACATTGGCATAGGAAAAGATTTTGTGAACAAATCCTCAGTAGCACAGGAACTAGCAGAAAGAATCAATAACTGGGATCTCATCTTATTGAAAAGCTTCTGCACTGCAAAAGAAACCATCAACAGAACTAACAGACAACCTACAATGTGGGAAAAAATTTCTACCAGCTGCTCCTCAGACAAAGGACTCTTATTTAGAATATATAAAGAACTCAAAACAATCAGGGCCCCCAAATATAAAGACCCAATTCAAAAATGGGCATCTGAAATGAACAGACATTTCTCAGACAAAGAAGTAAAAGCAGCAAGTAAATATATGAAAAAATGTTCCACGTCACTAGTCATTCAAGAGATGCAGATGAAAACAACACTGAGATTCCACCTCACCCCACAAAGAATGGCTGCTGTCAGGAAATCACACAATAACAAATGTTGGCGGGGTTGTGGGGAGAAAGGAACCCTTCTCCATTGTTGGTGGGAGTACAGACTGCTGCAACCACTATGGAAATCAATATGGAGATACCTCAAAGAGCTGGGACTAGAGGTTCCATTTGACCCAGCCATCCCTCTGCTGGGTATCTTTCCAAAAGAACTAAAAGAATCATATCACAGTGATATATGTTCACCAATGTTTACAGCAGTCCAGTTTATAATAGCTAAAACTTGGAAACAGCCCATTTGCCCATCAGTTGGAAACTAGATAAAGAAGATGTGGGTTTTCTATAAAATGGAATACTACTCAGCCATAAAGAATGAGAAATTAGATTCATTCATAGGAAAATGGATACATATTGAAGATTTACTCCTAAGTGAAACAAATAAGTCACACATGTGTAAATACTGAATAGTTTCTCTGGTATGAATAAACT